AAGACAAACAAACAATCAAAGCTTGTCATCTTTCTCTCGTCAGGACTAAGATGCAAGAAACAGGCTTAGTGTTTTCCCCTCGGTATTCCTTTTATCAAGTCTGATTATGCATCGAGTTCTGTTGAGTGCAAGATGAAAATCTTTGACTTCTTGTCTCTTTTTAGACATTCTTGAGTCTTGTGCTTTGATTTTTCATGCAAATATAACACTCATGTTCAAGAAAGGAGAGAAAAAAAGAAGTACAGTCTAATTGGCCTGACATCAGTCATTGAAAAATGCTAGGATCTATTTTTAAGGCAGCACAGAACAATTAGAAAGCCAGGGTATGCCTATATAGAGTCATCATGGTTTTATGAAACAGGAATCATATTTCACAAACCTATTGGGACATTTTGAAAGATGTTACCATTATGATAGATGATAGGGAATCAATAAAGGAGGTAGATTTGGATTTCCAAAAGGCATTGAATAGGACACTACATAAAAGTGGTCGGGGTAATAGATTTACATAGAGCAGATAAAGAAGGAGGATAGAAAAGAACTTGTCATTTTAAAGTTGGTAAGCTCTTACTAGTCGATGCTGCAAGGATTGCTACTGGGATAGAGCTATATATAATTTATCTTAATGACTTGAATGAAGTGACCAAGAATAACGTATCTAGGCTTGGTAACAATTTACAGCTACTTGGGAAAGTAATCTATGATTTGGCTGAGAGCTACCAAAGCAGAATTTCTGAATATTTTGGGGCAGTTTCTCTAATTAAATATCTCCCATGGAGTCAGTAACCCCATTAACATGGTTTCTGCTGCCACTAGAGGGTGGAATTAAATGCCTTTCCCTGATGGGGGTTTAGAAGTGGATAATTAATTTAGCCATGTGGGAGGATGGCAGGAGGGGACTCCGTCACCTTCCTGCCTCCCCACTAATAGGTCCAAGGTGGAAAGCCTAATAAATGTCCTCCTACTCAGCTACCAATTGAGGCTACTGGTTGGGTAATTATAGCTCAGATAAGGGCTTCACGCTGCTGTCACTAGTACTCAACCAGTAAGAGGCAGGGATCTCAGCATACAGGTAACCTGAAAAATAAACCCTGCTGTATTTTCTTGCAGGCTTTGATGGGCTGGGTTTCTGGTACAATAGCACTGAGTACCTGATCAGGCATCAGGAAGGGTTGGGATTGTTGAGAGATGTCTTTGCTGCCAATGCTCCTTCTCAGTGACCTCCAGCCCACAATTCCCAACTTACTGTCATTCGGTTTTGAGAGGAGGTCCCTCAGCAATCCTGCACCTCTGGTGAGTGTATTGTCTGCAACTGCTAAACGTCTCACTGGCACTGCCTGAAGTACACAGTTGCTGTCCTTAGACTGGCTGTTGCAGATTCAAACCGTGGTCCCATGACAAACTCTGACAAAGTCCCAAGCATATTATTGGCTTCAGTCACTGCTGTTGGTTACATTGTTCGTAATAGAGACCTTCCAGCATCTGATTGGCTGTCAGCTATCAAAGACAGAATACCCAGGGAACGTACTGCACTTAAATGTTCCCAAGAATCAAAAGCCCCAGTAGCAGGATCCCTGCTGCCAATTGGAAATTTAATACACTTGGGGCTCAGTGGTTGAGTTGGCAGGGGTGCTGCCAATTTTGATGGTAGACATTGGGCTCCTCACCACCCATATTAAATTTCACCCAATGTGACAGGTCAACTAACTTTATCAGGACTCAATCTCTATCAAGAGTTGCTGTAAGTATTTCCAGCATTTTATGTTTTATGTGAAGTGTTAGCGTTCAGAGAGATTTGGGTATTCTTCTACAGAAAACACAATATGTTGACAACAAGATAGAGCAAACAATTAGAAAGACAAGTGGCACGTTCTCCTTTATTGCAAGGGGTGGAGTAAATGATCAATAAAATCTTAGTGCAATTGTATGGGGCTAAAAATGTGTACAGTATCCTCAGCACCGACAGAAGGATCAACTTGTCTCGTCTTGGATGGGATGAATCAAGTTTTCCTCTGAGGAACACAGTAGAGTGGGCCCATATTCCCTGGAGATAGGAGAATATGAAAGATTCTGAGCAGGCTTGACAATATATGCTGAGAGGATTTTTTTCACTGGCTAGATAGACTGGAACTTGGTGACAGACAATCAGGATAAATGACCAGCCATATTGGACTTAGATCAGGAACCATGTTTTTTCACTCAGAGGGTTGTTAATAATATTTCCTTTAAGCTGAATGACCATTCAGCAAGTTACAATAAAGTTAACCTTTGAACTTTCCTCATATGCCTGGGAGCACATAAATAAATCTCCCATTAATGCCATAAAAAAAAGCAATGATGATTTTAAATCTTTAGAATTCTCTACTGCAGAGGGCTGTGGATGCTCAGTCATTGGGTACATTCAAGACTTGGATAGATATATCTGGAGATATTTCGTGAGTGGATAGGAAACTGGAGTGGAGTTTGAATATCAGTCATAGTTTTATCCAGTAGTGAAGTGTACTTGTGGTTGTATACATAACAAATAGCGGCTCCTAATTCAACATTCTTATGCAAGTACAAATAATTAAGGACTTGAATATCAAAAGATTTTACTTCAGCCGTCAGTTTGCAAATAAATTCATTGCCCTCTTCATAATTAGAAGCAGCTCTTTCTCTCAACTGTTTTTTATAATAGCCAGACTTCATTCTGACTGTCATGGACATGAGTTTGGGAGAATAGTTTCTTGGCTGTTTTTAGTGACATGAAGGATGTGAGGAAGGAGATATCAAATATTAAGGCACAGAAGTACTTGTCACATTTCAGACTGGTGATTGAGAAGGTTAAGATCAATATGTTTAGATTTGTGGTCTCCAGCTAAACCTACACCTATAGAGCTCTAACAAACCCAGCTGCTTCCTAGTTGGTTGGTGAAGATGCTTCTCTTCATCCAATTGTTATTTCCATCAAGGTGCATAAGTAGTACTGGGAGTTATGTCTGGTAGGGTTTAGTCAGAGTATGTAAAACCAAGCCTAGGAAAAGTAATATGTGGTAGCTTACCACTATTTGAATATTCAATTAACTCTAAAACACAACCATCTCTGTAAACCTGTGAAATAACTCCATAGAAGCCAGATATAACAAGGTGTAGAGTTGGATGAACACAGCAGGCCAAGCATCAGAGGAGCAGGAAAGCTGAAAGTTTCAGGTCTAGACCCTTCTTCAGAAATGAGGGAGGGGAAGGGGATTCTGAAATAAATAGGAAGGCAGATAGAAGATGGATAAAGGAGAAGATAGGTAAAGATGAGACAGACTTGTCAAAGAGGCGGGGTTGGAGCCAGTAAAGGTGAGTTTAGGTGGGGAGGTAGGGAGGGGACAGGTCAGTCCAGGGAGGACGGTCCCCAAGTCGCTTTGTAGAACACCTACGCTCAGTTCACGACAAACATCTGCACCTCCCGGTCGCAAACCATTTCAACTCCCCCTCCCACTCCTTGGACGACATGTCCATCCTGGGCCTCCTGCAGTGCCACAATGATGCCACCCGAAGGTTGCAGGAACAGCACCTCATATTTCGCTTGGGAACCCTGCAGCCCTATGGTATCAATGTGGACTTCACAAGTTTCAAAATCTCCCCTCCCCCTACCGCATCCCAAAACCAGCCCAGCTCGTCCCCGCCTCCCCAACTTGTCCTTCCTCCCACCCCTCCACTTCTCCCACCTCAAGCCCCACTCCCATCTCCTACCTACCAACCTCATCCTGCCTCCTTGACCTGTCCGTCCTCCCTGGACTGACCTATCCCCTCCCTACCCCCCCACCTACACACACCTTTACTGTCTCCAACCCCACCTCTTTGACCTGACTGTCTCCTCTCCACCTATCTTCTCCTTTATCCATCTTCTATCCACCTCCCCCTCTCTCCCTATTTATTTCAGAACCCCCTTCCCCTCCCCCATTTCTGAAGAAGGGTCTAGACCTGAAACGTCAGCTTTCCTGCTCCTCTGGTGCTGCTTGGCCTGCTGTGTTCATCCAGCTCTATACCTTGTTATATCAGATTCTCCAGCACTGGCAGTTCCTACTATCTCCATAGAAGCCAGTGTCCATTACCAAGTCACCCTTTATTTACATGTGAACAGTTCTTGCCTTTAGCACTGCAATCATTCAGAGTTAGGTATCAGACTGTCAGTATCTCTGACACTCTCTCTATTTGTCAGCCAGGGCTCCCTAATTGGGGCTGTTAATCTAGCCCAATCAGGGAACTCATTCTATGTTGTTGAGCTGGCTGACCTCATTACAATCACTACAGCTGCCTTCAGTTAAAATCCCCTTGAAATTCTCTTTTCATTATGAGACTAATTACATAAAATTTTACTGAATGAGTTGCCTGATAATTCCACTCAGTTAAAGTAGCAGAAATAGACCAAAAGTCAAGCATTTAGCTGCTCAAACCCATTCCAAACTAAATAAGATCAAAGCTTACCTTCATTTTTACACAACTAATTCATACTACTTGATGCCTTTATCAAACAGAATTTCCTTCATGGGGCCATGAGTTGCACGTATTTATTACACACACGTCTGTTTCCAACGGGATGGCAAATCATTTTTGAAACTTTAATGGTCTACATGCTTGAGCAATTAGAGTTTGTCACATCTCTAATTTTAGTTCAGAATTGCACATTATTGGTTATTAAATTGCAATTTTTATAAAATTTTCATATGTTTTTCAAAGTTTTCATATTTGGAATCAGAAACAAATGTTAGAATGTGTGCGTACCACAACTGAGAATAGCCAAAATTTGAGAGCCGGTAATTCATGGCAGCTGTATTTGTAGCTTTGATGGCTGAATTACGAAGTGAATCCTGTCATCGTGTTGCTGCTGGGTTGGAATTGATTTGGGGTAAATAGATCAAAAATATATTATACATCAATTGAAATGAAAATGCACATTTTAAAAGGAATTACAAGACCTGAATATCATGAAAAAATAAACAGTTCTGTCTGCATTATTTTTTTTCTAGACAGCCACTTAGCCCAAATGATCTGCTGGCTTTGTTCCGTTACCCACGGGATCCCTTTACTGTGGAGGCTGCAAGAGCAGGAGAAATCTTTGAGCGGACTTTGCAACTGATACAGAACCATGTCAAGCAAGGCTTAACTGTGGACTTCAATGACATAGGTATGGGTCCAAGTCAAAAGGGAAGCATAGACCTAGATTTTGTGGTCAGTAACAAATCAATAGTACTCACTGCCAATCTCATAGAAAGTGCCCTGAAAAGATCTAGCTATCTCTATGATACAGGGCTTTTTTTTTGTAGTGGTGGTTCAAATCTGACATGAATTCAAACTATCCTCAGGAATTCAGCAATATTCATGTCAGATATGCTAAGCAATTAACTAGATTCAAATATTCTCACAATCAGCAAACCAGGAAGTAAAAGACACTGAATCTCTTACTTTTTAAAAAGTGATATAGGAAAATAAATGATTTTGATTGGTTTGAGATTCAAACTAAAACAAAAATAAGCTTTAAAATGTTTTACTTTTAATGTAATACGTAGAATTTTTGACATTATAGAGAAATCTGACGTCACAAATGTAAAATTGATTTTGCTACTAGTTAGAATCTTTATTAGTAATTATGAACTGAGTATACTATTGAAAACCCAATTATGTCTTGTTCAACAATGTGTAGGTTTTCAAAGGACTTTTGTAATAAGCACTGTTGACGATAGGTTCTCATCAGTTCAAAGATTTCTTGTTGTCTCCATCCGTGGGAACTTTAGAAGTTAGGAATGGGACAGAATTATATAGTTCCCCAGTCACTATTGTGACAGTGGGGGTGTCCTAAAATGCAGCATAAGCTTGCACAGTAACTTCCTACCTGTCCTGACAGCTCCCCCATTAGGGAACAGTGGAGACAATAGTGGCCCACTCATGCTTATGCCTTCTAAGATCCTTTAATGGAGGCAGGCAGCTAGAATTGGCAGGGATGGATTTTTTATTAGCTCTTCAGGTGAAAGAGTGGAACCCCTGACATCTGAATATTGTTCCTAGAATCACAAGCAGCAGTTTTGGAATGTTCACCATGTTCTAAACCCACGTAGGCTTGCAATGATGCTTTCAGTTTCAGTGCTGTAGTGCCACAACTGTGTTTTTTTTTATCATTACCCCACAAAACCCAAGAAAAATAATAATAGATTACCAATTATTGCTGACATTTCCAAAAAGGTAATATAAAATACCAATGAGATATTAGTTTATGTTTTCAATTTGTTTATTCTTTCTTGGAACATGGGCATCACTGACATCTGTCATTGATGTTTGAGCCAATCATTATTTATTCTGAAGTTATGTGAAAAATTATATTCTACAAATATTCAGCATGTGTTAGAATGAAAGCCAAACTGTTTGATGTTACTAAGTTAGTAGAGAAAAGGAATCCATTCAATACACCTGTTCAAAAGAAAACTCTCAACTCCTGATCACAGTGTGTTTTGCTTATCTTTGTAAGCAACTTACCCAAAATTGAATTTTCTATGTTTATAACTCATCAGGTGCTATTTTAACTTATATAGGTGAAAAATAGTGATATTATTGTCACAGAGGAAGTGCAACAAAAGTACACCAGACCTGTCCCTGGATAGTGGGGCTGTTTTATCAAGAGAGATTGGGCAAACTAGGTCGGTATTCTATAGATTTTTGAAGAATGATATGTCATTTCAGCTTACAAAATATTGAAAGGGATAGACAGTTTAGATGCTGATAAAATGTTTCCCCTGGTTGGGGAGCCTAGAACCAGGAGGCATAAATTTAACAAAAAACAGTGATGCCACTTAGGCTCAAAATTAGGAGAATTTTTTTTTTAAACTGAGAGAGTTGTAAACCTTTAGAATTCTCTATCACAAAGGGCTGTCGAAGCTCAGTCAAGTATGTTTCAGGTAGTGATTGAAAGGTTTCTAATTGGGCTGTAGGGTTATGGGAGTTGTGTAAATAAAAAGGCATTGAAGTAATCGATCAACCATGATTGTGTTGAATGATTAGATAGGTCTACAAGCTGTATAGCCTTTTCCTGTTCCTTTGTTCCTATATCAACAACTTTTTGAATAACTCAAGTAATTCTTTCTTCACGGTAGTTAAAGTTAAAATTGCACCTGATGTGAAGAACTCCAAGATCAGTTCTACATTTCCCATTTATAATTAGAAGGTGTACCACATTGCCTAATGTCATGGATTAATCTGTAGTTGTATTCCATATTTACATTTGTTATTCTTGTCTTGTTGTCCATTAGCCTTAAATAAGTGTGTGGTGGTGTGTCTACTGAGATGGTCCTAACCTCGGAATATTTACTTTAACTCCAATTCTCATAGTTTCTATCTGTATCCTGAGTTAGGTGTATTGTTCCTATGGCCAGTGTCCTACACTCATTACTGGCTTCCCCATAATTTACAACCACTCAGCACTCACCTTTGTGACATTTAATTTACATTGCATGTGATGAGTTATCTTTACTCAGTTAGCAGTTCAGGTGGAACTAGAAGATTCCATGCCTTAGTCAAAGAAGAGCAAGGAGTTCTTTTTATATTAGAAGTCTGGTCAATACTCTTCTGCTAATCAAAAGCAGAGAAACAGCTTATTTGGTCATTTATCTCACCGGTGTTTGCAGAATCCTTCAATGTACAATTTGGCTATTGCATTTGATATACAGAAACGATTTCAAAGTACATTATACAAAATGCTTGGAGACACGATAAGACACAAATCTTCATTTGCTTTCAAATGCGTTAATAATTTTGTACCATAACTAGGTAATTGCACAGCTATAAAATATTAAACTTCAGCAGGGTAGTATTCTAATATTGTGTCACAAAATGGAAGACCACAGTGTTATGGGACTACAATTCTGAACCATTTGGGTTCCCGGACGTGACTGTTCAGTTGAAGAGAATGGCAAGTGGAGAATAGTCTCCTTTCTCGAGCAGGAATGCATCCGGTGAGTCAATGGTCAATTGATTGTATTATTAGAAACAAATTATGAAACCAAATCAGAAAGAGGATTTCTTTCAAATCACAAAAATTAGAAAATTAAAGTCTATTATTTTAATCTGTATAGTAAAGTGTCAGATTTAAGTTAATCTTATTGATATTATTGAACCAAATAACCTGAAAGCACCTTTTCAAATGAAAATTTTGTCTAGATTCACCTTTCAATGTTACCAGATCCAGGAAGGCAATAGCTCGATGCTGTATCATTGCTGGCTCCCAAGAGGAAAACTAAGCACCTACTCAAAAAGAAGAAAAAAGATAAATGGCTGAATTTTTGGGTCATTTTTTAAGGATGTTGTGTTAGTAATAGAATAGGCAGAAATAATTTATTCAGTTTTGAACAAATCAGTAAGAATTTATGGGAGAAGTATCTGTCAAATGAGCAAGCTTAACCAGACTAGAGATCCAGTAAAACGCTTAAAATTCATTAAAATCTTTATTCTTGGGTACACACCTTATGCGAATCTAATTACATTTGATTTTACTGCTATATGACTCCAGACGATCATTTATTCTCAGCTTTCGTCTGCTATTGGATTCTCAAGATCTTGTAGCCAAGTAGTAAAGTGTAATGAAACGACTAGCATTTGTTTTGATCTGTGCTCCAAAGCCCCATTTGTTCACTTAGTTTATTGCTATTTTTCTATCATAGTTCCTTACAGTCTCTTTCAGCTTTCAAGTCATCACTTTTTGATTTCATTTTTAAATATCTTTTGAAAATAAATAGAACACAGAACTGTACAGCACAGGTTGGCCCAAGATGCTGTCCTGAACATAACACCAAATGAAACTAATCTGTTCTGCCTGCCCTTGCCCCACATCCCTCAATTCCTTACATGTTCATGTACTTATCTAGAGGTCCCTTAAAACGCTCCTAACATATCTGCCTCCACCACCACACCTGGCAACATGTTCCAGACTCCTACTACTCTGTGTAAAAAAACTTGCCCCTCACGCCTTCTTTGAACTTTCCCCCTCCCACCTTAAATGCATGGCCCCTAGTATTAAGTATTTCAACTCTGAGAAACAGATTCTGACTGTCAATCCTATCTATGCATCTCTTAAATTTTATAGACTTCCAACAAGTCTCCTCTCAGCCTCTGCTGCTCCAGAGAAAACAACCTGAATTTTTCTAGCCTCTCCTTATAGCCCACATCCTCTTAGCCAGGCAGCATCCTGATAAACCTCTTCTACACCCTCTCCAAATCCTCCACATCCTTCCTGTAATGTGGTGACCAGAATTGAATGCAATACTCTCAATGTGGCCTAACCAAAAAGTCTTATAAAGCTACATAACTGGCTAAAGTCTTCTGCCTACTGTTGTCAACTTACCATGATAACATTCCATATTCCAAGGGCAGGATTATATCAATATTTGGAGCAAATGCCCATGCCTGTAACAACTCATTACAAGTGCTTAATCCAAGAAGGCAGTAGGACTTTCAGTTGTAATCCAGACCAAGATCTGGCTGAAGAAAGAGTCAAGTTTGTGTATTTTATCTTTCAGCTCTTTTGAGCATCTGAAGTAATAGCAATTGATCCTTACACAATTGATTTCTGTTTGTCTTTTCCACTTCAAACCCATTTTTCAACCCTCAAACAGATGACTGTTCTCGGTCAATGCAAATGCTGCTAAGACTATATTTGTTAGAATTCTGGTCACCACATTACAGGAAGGATGTGGAGGATTTGGAGAGGGTGTAGAAGAGGTTTATCAGGATATGGGCTATAAAAGAGGATATGGGCTATAAGGAGAGGCTAGAAAAATTCAGGTTGTTTTCTCTGGAGCGGCAGAGGCTGAGAGGAGACTTGTGGGAAGCCTATTCTCTGGGAATAAACCTAGAAATGCCTTCAAACTGCTACTACAATGTACAAAAGGGAGAACAAAAGAAGCACTGCTGTCTGCCTTCCACAGACGTAAGTGCAGTTTTTTAGTGGGCATTGGGGATGGTGAGGGGCTGATTGTGATAGATCCAGGTTTTAGCTGCTTTTTCAACTTGTCCCACCCCACACCACGATTTCGGTTAACTTATGCAATTTTTATTGCGTAATTTCCAGGCTAAAATATTCAGCCATTTACTTTGCTCTTCTTTTCCAGGTGATTAGATCTTTAAAACATTTCATGAAAGCCA